GACATGTTTCGTGGCAAGCCCAGAACACTACAAGGCGATGTTGGGTGGCAAGCCCAGAAGGCATACTGATACCAGACCAACAACTTATAATCAGACCCTAAGCCGGAAAAGGGGAAGCCTGTTGGTGGCAAGCCCTCAACACTAAAATGCGATATTGAGTGGCAAACCCTAAACCCTGAATGCCGATGTTAACATAAACCCTAAGCCCAAACAGGACATGTTCAGGAGCAGGCCCTGGGCCCTAAAAGGCGACTTGGGGTGATGAACCCTGTGTAGAACAGCACGACAACATATTTGGAAAAAATGTGCTCAAATACAGGAAATGAACGGGGAAGCCTGTTGGTGGCAAGCCATGTGTAGAGAAGCACAATAACATATTTGTGTTCAAAAATTAGAAAATAAACGCGGAAGCCGTTGGTGGCAATTGCATTCGCAGGAACCGGACAGGCCACGCGCAAGGCTCTCAAGACAGCAAGAAGCGCCACTGACGGGACAGACTCGGATAGACCCGACCACTCGCGGTGTGGGTTCACCCCAAATCATAATGACAATGCCGCTAATGAGGCATCCGACACTGACGTCAAAGCCTTGGCCGTGTCTGTGGAGTCCATGCCTGCTATCTCCGTATCCGTGAACAGTGTGGGAATCGCACCGACTCCTCTCGCCAGTCACAGGGAAGACTGTTCACGGAGCTCCCAGCGGCGGGCGTGCGCCAGGCCACGGGAGCTGGCATCGTAAATCACTAACCTGCAAGCACTGCCGCACGATTGCTACTTCCTGCACAGGTGTTCTACAGCAGTTCTGGTGCCATTTTTGTTCTTGAATGGACGGATTCTGCGGCGGGGGATCGTGGTTCGTTTTCCTTGTTTTGTTTGAATACCAGATACCAACCATTCGCAACCTTTGCAGTTTCTTGGGAATCGTGAGGCAGTGTTACACTCGCAGTTTTCCTTTGAACGCTTCAACTTTGCAACCTCTCGACCCGCAATTGCACGTATTCACCGCACCAGTTTCTCGCACAATTTGATACACCTCGCAAACTGCGCAGACTTTACAATGCGACCGCGACGCAGTGTGTCGTTTCACGTCGGTTCTCACATTATAGTTCCCAATGCTTCCAACTCGCAAACCTTGCGGTGAATGAGGGGGTCGTGTGTGGTTTCTGGTCCTGCGTCACGTTCGTCTTTCGTAGCAGGTACGTAAAATCTCAAGCACTCGTGATTCTCGATGTTGTCCCTGCAACTACCGGCCCCAAAAAGCCTAGCAGAAGTTGTCGATGTGTTTTTGGCTTGTCTCTGCATATCTAAGTCACAACGCTGATAAATGCTTACAACTATGACGACTTGTTTGCTGCTGATTGTTGCTGTCGTTGTTGTTGCCATTGCTGTTGCTGTTGCTGTTGCTGTTGCTGTTGCCCATGCCGATGCAGTTGCCTCGGAAGACTGATGGTGTCAGAGCTTGTGGAGATTGCATGTCCCCCACGTTCCACTCCACAGTTGACCTGCCACTACCCGCCAACTTCGCATGTCGAGCGTTGGTTGCTTATGTTGCTGTCAGCAATAAGCCGTCGGAAGGGAAGGTCTCTTTCCAAAAGCAAATAGGTGTGGCTGGGGCCCCGCACTGACTTGATGCGTCGTCCCAGAGCCTGGGCAACTATGGCGAGTCCAGAGGGTTGCAGAACGCGGTGTGCTTTCAGTCGCCTTGCCATCTTGCTCCCGATCTCGTGCTTGCAGCCATGCCGCCCTCCAGGCACAGCCCAGGCCCAAGGCCCAAGCAATCCCAAGCATCAGGCAACAGATTGGTTATCTTCTGGCCTGGCACTCCCATCCGGATCGTAGTCCTGCAACCTCTCTGGGCTCGGAGGCCTTAAACACGAAGCTGGTGGCAGCCTTCACAGTAGAGTTGTGTGTCACCTGCCTTCCTTTGCTTTGACCTGCGACAGTCTTAAAGTCTATACCGATGAACAGATCGTCTTCCCTGCCTCTGCTTCGAGTGTGTCCCGAGAGCGCAGAGGCGGCTGCAGCTTAGCTGAATTGCAATGAAGCATGCAGCACGACTCGCTAAAGTGTCTTTCTTTGGTGTGGGTATGAAAACTTCTCGGTATCATCCAACTGAAGAAGAGATGTGTCCAAGGCGGGGCAGAGGCATACTTGTTTCGGATCGGGAAACCACAACTGCGCGGCAGAACAATCTGCAAGAGCCTGATGAGTTGTAATATGCTCTTTTTTCTTGCATAGTGGCACGAATCTGCACCGAGGAAGGTCCTTACCATGTCGAGCAAGGATCACTTGCACATGTTCCTTCCTCTTGTTACTACCACACCCCAGCAGCGTTGGATAGGAAGGCCTGCTTCCCTGAATCCAGGGTGTGTTGTCGGCAGAAGTTAACCTGGTTTTCGCATGGTTCAATCCCTCTTTCTGCCCTTTCCTCGTTCTCTTGCCTTGAACTGCTGACTGGAATGCACTTTGTCGTAGGTGCTTCAGCTCTTCCGCCGTGTCCCCTGGAGTCGTGACCTTGAGGGCTGTTTGGGCGCTTGCTTGCTTGCTTGCTTGGTTGCTTGGTTGCTTGGTTGCTTGGTTGCTTGCTCGCTCGCTCGCTCGCTCGCTCGCTCGCTCGCTCGCTCGCTGGCTGGCTGGCTGGCTGGCTGCCTGGCTGGCTGGCTGGCTGGCTGGCTGGCTGGCTTGCTTGCTTGCTTGCTTGCTTGCTTGCTTGCT